AAGATCAAGTCCATAAGTCCGATATTAGCCCATATGTCTGATACTCATCTGTAAAGTCCTCATCTGACTCACACAACACATGCAATGATGCAGGAAGATCACAGGCCAGTGGGTGGGAAGTCTCGTGGCAGTGGAAGCCTCTCAGTGCATGGGTCCCCACGTGGCTCCTCAGCTCCAGGGCTCTTACTGCCATCAGTGTAGCTCCACGTGACTTGTCAACAGGAATGTCTCACAGGGAGAGAGTGTGTCTGGCCTCCAGTGAGCTTTTATCTCCTTCACGCCTCCAAATGAGGTCATGGAGCTGCAACTTGATTGACAGGCGAGACCCCACCCCTTCCTCCAGTTGACAGGAGATGCCGTAACTGCCACCGCGATTCCGGTCATTCTCTGGGCTCTGTGGGTGTACCTCGCTCTAGCTCTGCCTTTCTTTTCCTTCCTAATGCGTGGCGGTGAGCATCTTCACGTGGGGCTTATGAGCGATTTGTAAATCTCCTTTGTGAAGCACCCGCTCACGAACTCCGCTCCAAACTCGCTCTTTCTGGTAAATATTCCGCTTTCTTTCTTCCTTTTGAAATTGACCCGCGACCCATGGCATTGAGTCCCTTGTTGAAGGCCACCCATCGTCTCAACTGCACGTGTTCTGGTCACGCGGGCAGAAGCGGCTAACTTTATACACCTGTGCCCTTCGGCCGGTGTCTCCGGTGCCCTGCCCTTGTGGCCCGAGGCTGGGCGTTTCTGGTAGGAAAGGGTGGGGAAGCCCTTCCTCTGCCCGCTCTCTTCACAGGGTCAGCTCTGGGACGCCATCTTGGAGCCTCAGTCACAGCTGCCCTTGTGACATCACAGCTGTCCCCTCACGTCCCTTCTGTTTGCGGGAGCCACCGCAGAAGGGAGCACACCTGGGAACAATGGACAACTTAGGGAATGATGGATCTGAGGGGATTTGAACCACCCACCCCCACGTTATGGGCATTCAATTTTGCGTAAGAGACAGCCAACACATCCACAAGCTGCAGAAAGCCGAGGGCCGGGTCCCCAGTTCACTCAGGCTGGGGTGTCCTCCTAGTGTCTCTGAGCAGCACAGAGGCAGAGGCAGCGGGGGGACACGGCACTGGGTGTACAGTGAGCAACTTCACTCACACCTCTCCCCCTGAACTGATTGCAGAAGGATGGTCAGCTAGTTCAGATCGTCATCGAAGAGATCGAAGAAACCACGTACATCGTGCTCAAGGAGGAAGAACCGGCCCCGCAGGTAGGCCAGCAGGCGCCTCGGCGCTTGTCCATGGCTCCGACCCACGCCGTCCTCGGTGGCGTGTTGTTTTCTCTGGGGCCCGTCGCGTGGGTGAGGTCATGGTGTTGACCATCCAAACCGGGACACGTTGCTGAGGGAGTGAGGGTTCTGTGAATTACTGGAACCACAGACGCATGCCGGGGACGTCCCCGGGAAACCGCGGCAGACGGTGGTTTCCCACGGGAGCTGCCATGCGTAGAGACCAGCTCGCCCTGGTGGTCCTCCTCCTCCGCTTCCTTCTCGAGAGAGGGGCGCTGAGACAGAGAGACTGGGAGTCGCGGGGAGAAGCCCTAAATCGTGCCATCAGGGAGTGGGGTACTGAAGGTTAGAACTGCGTGGTAGTGTGTGCATTTACGTTGTGTGTGTGTGTGCTCAGTCACGTTGAAGATGTGGGTCTTTTTAAAGTGAAAGTTGGAACCAGAGCGGTAAGGACCCCACACTGTGTGGATGGGGAGCATTCCAACCCTTGGTGGGACAGAGGGGAGCAGGCTGTGGAGGCCTGGGGGCTGAGGTGGGCGGGGAGTGCTTCCTGAGTGTGTTCCTCCTCTTGTTCCTGAAACCCCAGTCCGTGGAAAAGGACCCCACTGATAATGTGGAAGCCATCGTGAAGGTCCAGGCCTGGTGGCGCGGCACCCTGGTACGCAGGACGCTCCTACATGCGGCGCTCCAAGCCTGGATCATTCAGGGCTGGTGGCGGCAGCACCGCGCGCGGCTACAGGCCAAGAGGCGGCAGGCAGCTCTGGATCACTATGCCCGGATAGAGTGGGCCGCGGTCCGAGTGCAGTCCTGGTTCCGCATGTGGTGGGTCCGCAGGCGTTACTGCCGCCTGCTCAACTCTGTCTGCGTCATCCAGACCTACTGGCGGTGGCGGAATTGCCATGCCCGCGGCTTTGTCCAGGGCTGCTACGAGCTCACGGCGACGCAGCTGCAGGTTGAAGTCGAAATCCTTTTCGGCTCACTGATTTGTAGGATGAGAGACCGCATTCCCTTCCCAATAAAGGACTGACCAGGTCTGCTCCAATTCCATGTCATCTTTTTTCTGGCAAGCCTCATGTGATAGGTCGGTTCCTGGTGCCAACCTGGCCAACAGGAACATGTGGGATTGATTAGGTGGCATTTGATGGGAGGGCAGAGAGATAAATGGCTCTGCAAGTCCCGCCCCCCTGCTCTCTGGTGATTAGAGCGGGCTGGAGCGTGTGTGTGCGCGGCTGTCTCTGTAGCTAGTTCTCTGCCTCCGCCTGTGAGCTACACGACCTGTGGACCAGGCCAATCCATGGATCCTGATGCTAGAGCTTGAGGCTCCTCTGAGACCTGCTCCACCACGCCGTTGTGCGTCCATCGCTTGAGCTGGAGGCTGGTGGATTCCATTGCTTTGCATGGCTGGAGTTCGATGTCCCAGCGGGGCCTGCTTCGCTAAGCTCCCCGAGCTACTGACTGACTGTTGGTGACCCCACCCTGCTGCCTGTGGGCAGACTCCGCTTGCCTAGCCCAGGGAGGACCCTGCTGTCTGCTTCCTTGACCTTGAACTTGGCAGCCCACGTGAGTTGGATGCCTCCCAGTATATTAACCGTTCCACGGAAATGAGTTGAACTGAGCCCTCTGTCCTGCTGTGTGGACTAATTAGCGGTTGAGTTCCTTCTCGCTGTGTAAACCGTTCCTCATATAGATAAACTCATCAGTGTCCTGGTCTAGAGAACCCTGCCTGACACACCTCAGGAGGGGTCAGGGACAACGGTGGCAGGTGTCTGGCATCTCACAAGGAAGTGCCAGGGTTTGTCGTAAGCCCTTGTGGAGAAGGACTCAGAGCCCCGCCCCCTGTGTGGGGTGAAGGGAGCTGTGATTGATCCGGGATGTCTACCGTAGCAGCTCCACAGATCCTCCGTGACTTGTGGGATACGGTGCCCCCAGAGTTGTGCCGCAGCACGGGGTGCTGGGTGGGTGTGGTGGCATCCCTGCCAGTTGCCCATGGGACCCCGGGTCTCAAGCCCTGCTTCTTCTTCCCACTTGCACCGACAGGCCTCCGAGGAGGCCGCCCACTCAACCCCCATGATGCCACTCTGCTGTCCATCCGGAGGACGGGTCCCCTGGGATGGACTCTTAGCTGGAGCTGGTCACAAGAGCACCGCCCCGAGTCCCTTTTCCTGCTTCAATTCACATCTTTCCTCCAGTCGGGACAGGGACTCGTCGTCCTTAGGCCTTGCTGGTTTGGGCAGTTCCTTGGGAGTTAGGGTGCAGGTGGAAAAAAGCACACCCCATGTGGGTGCGAACACTCTGGCAAGTGTTAGGACCTGGGACATCAGAGACCTGAGCTGGCAGGAGCCTTGTCTGCCCCCTCCAACCCTCAAGGCCCTCTCCCCTGTCTGAGCTACGCAGAAATGATGGGAGCTGCAACTTCCCTCCTTCCCCGTCCCCCCATCCTGGGTACAATCTCGTGAACCTTGGGTCCCACCGAGCTGCGTTTCTGAGATGCTACCTGGGCCTGGCACGTGCGTGCCAGTGCCGTCTTTCCTGTTTCCTGATGCCACAGTCTCTTGTGCTGAGGTGCTGAGGCTCAGTCTTTCAAAACACATGTCTTTCCTGGGCCCAGAGGTAAGCGGAGCACCCCAGGCTCTACCTTGTTGCACCCGATGAAATCCATTCAGTGCCGGCCCACCTGGACTCCAGAGGACCAGCAGCTGCGAGGGCAAAAAGGAAGTGCCTGTGGTTGTACAAGACTGATAATTCTTAGAATGATGATGGAAACAATTGTACAAACGTGCTTGACATACGATGGATGGACGTATGAATTGTGATAAGAGTTGTACAAGCCCCCAATAAAATGATTAAATAAAAAAAAAAGACAGAATTCTCATTGGCTTGTTATGCTGCCAATACTGCCTGACACCGAAGGCGGTACTAGGTTCAGGTGCTGTTGCTGCAGAAACAAACCGAACAATACTCCCCTGGACTCGGTGTCGGGTTGTGGTTGGCAAGGACACTGATTGGAGAAGCTGGAAGACAGGTCGCCCTGATGATATCAGGG